TTTTCACTATATTAGAAATTTTTAGAAAATCTGTCAATTCAACTATGTCATTTACTTCTTTTTCAAATAAAATGCTGTAGGTGCTGGACTATAAATATGGTCCTTTTTTTAAATTTTATGTCATTTTTAATTTAAAAATTTCGCACAGCTGCGAACCAATACATTATCTATATGCCGCAAATTTAAAACTCAAATTTTATTTTTTAACAAACTTGTCAAAATCTAATTATGTATAATATTTTCACCTAGATAAAAATTCAAAATTTATTTTCATTAAAAATTTTTTTTTTATGCAAACCTGTCAATTAAATCTTTTCTTTTTACATAAAATAAAAAAAAAACAGTTTTTCGTCAACTAGTCAACCTAATTATGTCGAACTTTTCATCACTTAAAAATTCTAATTTTCTTTTAGTATTTTTTAAAATAAATTAGTGTAGGAGATAGTTTTAAATTTACCTGGTTTAATTTTTCTTAGACTATAAATACGTTCATTTTTAAAATTTCTATACCATTTTCATAATTTTTAAATTAGTTAAAATTTTCCAAAAATTACTAAAATACATTAAAATGCAACAACTTTCAAAAAATGCTCGCAATTTCATGATTACCAATCTCCTTGGATTACAACAAGGAACTGGTCACAGCGCAGAACGTTATGTTGAGCGACTAAATGACTCAATATCACATAATTCCAAGTTTAACGTGACCAAAACATATTCTAAATTTATGATCAAACAAGTTCCGGTCGATGTCGACACTCTTCTGCCTGGTACTTTTATATGATTTTTAAGTAATTATTTTAAAATTCAGGAATTTTTCAATACTGTGTCGATGAAGCAATGGAACATGCTAAAGAAAAAAATGTTGAACCCAAACAATTAGCCTGCACACTCACCAGCGACTTTCTTGACTATGACATATGGGTTCCTTTTAGCAACATTTCAAATAATACTGTTGAAGCCATGCTAAATCGGTGTCAACACATCGCCCAAAGTAAAAAACAAGATGAATTAACTCTATGGGGCGCACCGTTTTCAATAACAGTTACAACAATAAACAAGGTTTCATTCAAAAAACGACGCCGCGTCGGAGGTGCAGCTCGTAAAATACCAAAAGTTCGACACCAAATTAATAATGGATCACTTATAAAATTTGCTAATCCTGACAACATGAACCATTGCTTATTTTACGCTTTAATTGCTTCACTTATTCAAAATATTTGCAACTGGCCAGCTAAGAAATTTTTCAATTATATTCATAATTTATATGGTATGTCTGGCCATTTTCAAAAAGACACATATGAAATTATGAATCAAGTTGGGGCCCAAATTGGTTTGAATGAATACGATGGAGATGAATGGATTCCTCGTATTGTTGACCAATGGAATAACTTTAACTATAAAAATCAATGTATTGTAAAAGTATTTGTATTTGGTGATAATGGAAATTATAAACCCGAATTTGAATATGGCCCTGAAGATTACGATACGCCAATAATTCTTTACTATAACGACATTGAAAAACATTTTTATGCAGTAAAGAAAAATGGTCGGTTGTTTGGAACTTATTACTGTCTTTCATGCAAAAGTGTCTATAATAAAGCTCAACATCATTCTATTATATGTAAAGCTCGGTGCATCAATTGCTCACGTGTTGGTCCACAATTTCCATGTCAACCCGACAACGTTTTCTTCAAATATTGTAATCTATGCTTTAAAAATTATAACAACAAGGATTGTTATAATCAACATTTAAAAAATGGTTTTTGTAAAAACTCCAAGAAATGCAACAAATGTGGAGTTATATGGAACGTTCATGACAACACTCGTAATGGACGCAAAGGTCATATATGTACAGAAAAATATTGTAATACATGCAATGAATTCCATGATATAAAACGCGGATGCTTTATCAAGCCATTGGAGCCAAAACCATTTGAACATTATTTAATTATAGCCTTTGATTTTGAAACAACCCAGTTATCAGCAATTCACGAACCAAACTTTATTGCTTCAAAGGTTTCATGTCCTGACTGTATTTTAAACGGTAACTGGCAACATAGTTTAAAGAATAACAACAACATTAATTGTAAAATTTGTGGAGAAAATCGGACTATAACTTTTTCTGAACAACCTTTTAATGAAACAGCCGTTGATAAGAAAGTAATTTGTAATTCTCCACTCGCTGCATTTGTAAATTGGATACTTAATGATCTCCCCCAAAACAACGACATATTTGCTTTTTCACATTTTGGGGGTAGATTTGATATTGTTATAACTCTAAAAGAAATAGTCAAACAAGGATTAACACCAGAAATATTGAAAAAAGGCAATAAAATTTATGAAATGAAGATGAAGAACAAAAAGAATAGTATCATCTTCCGCGACACATATAATTTAATGCCAATGTCGCTTGCTTCTCTTGTACCATCATTTGATCTCAAAGTTGAAGACAAGCCTTTTTTCCCACACATGGCCAACCGTCCAGAAAACTACGGTAAAGAAATATACCCAGCAAAAGAAGACTACCTCGCCAATGGAATGATGAGTGAAAAGCGAAAAATGTTTGATCTTTGGTACGAGCAAAATAAGAATACACCATTCCTTCTTGATGAAGCTTTGGCTAGTTACTGTACAAATGATGTTGAAATATTAATGGCAGCGCTTATTGCTTTTCGAAAAGAATTTTTTGAAGTTACGAAACGCAATAATGGAGAAAGAGCAGCATCAACTAAATCACATGCAGGAATCGATGTACTCCGAGAGGCTATGACCATTGCTTCAGCTTGTATGCGCCATTTCCGCACAAATCATCTGAAAGAACAACATTTAGCACTTGTACCCGAACGCGGCTATGATAAAGTAGACGGAAATCAAAGTCTTCTCGCCCTCAGATTTTTCAAATGGTATTCTGAAAAATTTGGTGTAACCGTCCAGAATGTCAACTCTGACGGTGGTGAGAAGAAAATAGGAAATTATCAACTTGACGGCTGGGTTGTGGAGGAAAATTATGGATTAGAAGTTAACGGATGTGTTTGGCATGGCTGTCCCAGATGTTTCCCAAATGATAATGATATGATGCCAAACGGAAAAACAGCCGGATACTTGCGGGAACATGACAAAAACAGAATGGAATTTATATTGACTCAAATTGCCCGTGTTGACGTTTACTGGGAATGTGAAATTCACCAAATGTTAGCAAAAGATCGTGAAATGAAAGAAATGTTCTACAGTTATATTGATGATGGACCAATAGATATAAGAAGTTGTTTTTATGGAGGAAGAACGGGTCCACTGAAGCTCCATCATAAAGTAAAAAATGGAGAACGGATATCTTACTACGACGTCACATCTTTGTATCCGTTTATAAACGTCACAACATCATATCCAGTTGGGCACCCGAAAGTTCACGTCATCAATAAAAATGTAAACTGGACAACACCAACTGACAACATCTACAATCTGGCAATTTTAAAAGTCTTTGTAATTCCACCAAGCAAAATTGCTGTTCCCGTCCTACCTATGAAATTAGAAAATGATGCCCGTCTTCTCTTTCCCCTGTGTGCAAAATGCGCGTAAGATTATTATTTTTTCTATTCGTAAATAATTTTTTTCTTTTAGAAAAATGTATCCTGAAGGTGGTGTTAAAGAAGATTACCGTTGTTCACACAGCAACGAAGAAAGAGGATGGGTATCAACATGCACATCATTAGAATTAAATGTTGCTCTAGAAGAAGGGTACACAGTTACAAAACTCTTCCGAGTTCTAGAATACAACAAGGCGGACTCTGAATTATTCAAACCATACATCTCAGAGTTCATGGCAGAAAAAATTCACTCATCTGGTTTCGACAGTAATATTAAAGACAACATTGAAGAAGAAGACAAATTTATTAATGAATGTAATGAAAAATTTGGAATTAAAATAGAAAGAAGCAAAATGAATCCCAACAAGGGTCGGAGGACCCAGGCCAAACTTATGTTAAATAATCTTTGGGGACGATTTTCATTGCGCAATTTTGGCCTTTCGCAATGTTTAATAACAGATGACCCAGAACAGTATCAAAAATTTATAGACGACAAATCAATTCAAATCACAAGTATAGATGAATTATCACCAGAAATAATAATGATTGCATATATGAAGAATAAGGAATGGATCGAAGAGCATGAGTGTTCTAACATAGGTATATTTTATTTTAAAAATTGACTTTAATTTAATTATATTTAGTCATTTCACTCTGGACAACATCAGCTGCAAGGATCCACCTTCTTCGTGCAATGCAACAAGTTGTCCGTACTGAAGGATGTAATTTGCTTTATACGGACACTGACTCCATAATATTTACACATCCCGATGGAGTCAATCCTCTGAATCTTGGACCTCATCTTGGTCAATTTACCGATGAGTATCCAAAGCACGATATCGTAGAATATGTTTCTGGTGGAGCGAAGCAATATGGTTTAAAAATGAAAAAGAAAAATAATGAACAACAAACAGAACATGAATATATTTTAAAAGTAAGAGGAATAACTTTAAACCATGATGTTGTCAACAACCAAGGATTAAGTTATGAAACTTTTAAAGAACAGGTAATCAAATATGCAACTACAGGAATTAATGAACCAATAAAAATAATGTATCCCTCATTTTTATGTCCCTCAGTCAAAAATTTAAATGTTTCCACCTTGTCCCGTCACAAAATTTCTAGGCCTTTTATCGGAAAGGGAATTGTAAAACCCTCCGATTTTTCTATATTAAATTTTGGTCATATTTAATTTTTTTAATTATAACTGTTGTATTTTATCATTTTTATTTTTATTTACTTTTATTCATTATGTATATTTGAATTATATTTATTGTTTTTTAAATTTAATTTATTTTATATTATGTGTCATTTACTTGTATTTAATATTATGTGTCATTTAATTGTATTTAATATTATGTGTCAATTAATTAAATTTAAATAAATATTTGAAATTGCGTAATTGTTTTTAATTCACCATCCGTTGCAGTAATAGCTTGGTTCCAATATATTTTGATCTAAATTTTCATCCTCATCCTCGTCAATTACTAATCCTTTATCATTATTTACAGGCTTCTCTGTAATTTTGGAATCCCCGTTTGAAAATGAAATTTTTTCTATTTCCTCTTCCTCTTTAATAAGTTCAAGTAACTCCAGTGGATAGTATCGATTTTCTTTGAATGAACTTGTTTTGTTAGGGAAATGTTCGATAATGCAGTGAAGATAGGGGTTGTGGAGACGGATACGATGTTTTGCATAATAATGTGCTGTCACAGAAATGTTGAAAGGTTTTGATAGTCTCCCATATGCTGGTATAACATTTGCACCATCTCTTGATAAATCACCAATTGTAAAACTTTTTTTCATTCCGTTTTTATCAGTATATGTCGTTGCAACCTTACAACCTTGAAGCTTTTTCAGAATTAATTTCCTATTTTCAGGGTGATTTAGAAGAGTTCCAAGTGATTTAACATTGCAACTTAAAATATTAGCACATTCTTCACTTACAAGGACCATTTTAAAAATTTTAAATGACATAAACTGTCAATACTAATTCGAGTTTATATACTCATGATTTTTTTGTTTCAAAAAAGATTTGAAGGTCAAGTCTCAGTTGAAACCTAGTTGCAACAATGAAGACGAGATTATTAATTAAGATTATTAATAACATTAATGACGGTCCCCCAATTAAAAAATTTCATAAATTGTAGAACTATATAAAATATTTTAAGATTCTCCCTTTCTTTCTCTAACATCTGTCATTATTATTATACAAAATAAAAATTTCTTTTCTTTTTAACTATTTACCGAAAAGCTATCACTCAAAACATGTCAAATAATTAAAAATAATTCGCAAATATAAACTTTAACATTTTTCTCTGGAACATCTGTCACTATTATTATGCAAAATAGAAATTCAAATTATTTTTCCAAAATAATTCTCTGAAATATCTGTCACTATAATTATGCAAAATAAAAATTCAAATTTTCTTTCTTTTTAAATATTTTTTTTGAAAAACTGTCACTCAAATTTATGTCAAATTGTTAAACATAATTCAAATTATTTTTCCAAAATAATTCTCTGAAACATCTGTCACTATAATTATGCAAAATAAAAATTCAAATTTTCTTTGTTTTTAAATATTTTTTTGGAAAACTGTCACTCAAATTTATGTCAAATTATTAAAAATAATTCAAATTATTTTTCCAAAATAATTCTCTGAAACATCTGTCACTATAATTATGCTAAATGAAATACTAACAAGTTCATACTAACAAGATCATTATAAAAATTTTAAATGAAATAAACTGTCAATATTAATTAGTGTTGACATGTTCTGATTTTCTGTTTCAAAAATTTTAAGGACCGCCCACTAAACTGACAATATAAATAAACTACCTAACCATCATATTCATTCACAAAAAAAAATTTTTTTTTCAAATATTAAAATGGAAAACATTACCAATGAAATCGAGATGAAGGTTACTAATACTTCTGAAAATAAAGCTACTAGTGAGCCTTTCTGGAAACTATTTCGCGGAAAATTTCTTCTTACGTTCTCACTTTGTGCAGGTTAATATCTTTGCTTTTTATTTAAAAATTTAAATTTTTAGAATGTCGGGACAGTCTATTTAAGAAGAGTGACAAAGCGGTTCGAAAAGAAGATAAGATTGAAGTTAAATTTGAAATGTGTGAAGGATGTTTTAAGAAGAATTGCAAGTCAACTGATATTTTATCACCGTACACGCCAAAGATAAATTAAATTATTATTGTAACAATTTTTAATCAAGATAAACAATGTTAAACCAATAAACTTTAAATATCATTTAATATTAGCTAGATTACAATTTTTATAATAAGGAAATAATAATGAACAATTTAATAATGAAAAGTAGCATATTTTATAATTCGGGCACAATCTGAACATACAAAAAATTTATATTTGTATGTATTTCCTTCTCCAACTTCTAAAATTTCTTCTTGCTTCATTTCATTTAAAGTTTTGCGACATTGATCACACCATGTCGATGTCTCATAGTTGTGATCCAAAAACATAAAAAAAGTGGAGGCATCCAGTTTCTCCCCTTTTTTAATCATTTGATTAATCTCTTTTGTTTGAGGATGCCAGGAACACTCCCAAAATTCGGCAATTCCCTAAATATTTTATTATAAATTTGATTTTTTGGAAATAGTTACCTCAAAAACATTCTGTTCCACAGCTTTGCCCGGCATTTTGTCGATAGCTCTTGTTTAATATCATTGATATTTAAAAACTTAGCGAAAGTTTGTTCCATTGTGAATAAAATTATTTGATATTTTAGTCTATAAAATATTTTTATTTAGTTTTAAAAGTTAAGGAAAAAATGAAACTATTTATAGCCCGGTCCATTAATAAATTTTATAATGTCCTAAATTTAGTTAAATATTTGCAAAAAAATTTTTGTATACGAAAAATCAATCACATCAATTATGTCAAATTATTTCTTTCACATTTCTAAAAATAAAAATTCAAATTTCCTTTTCTTTTCAAATTTTTTCGCACACCTGTCACTTCAATTATGTAATCATTTTCTTTCGTATTTTTAAAAATAAAAATTCAAATTTCCTTTTCTTTTCAAATTTTTTCGCACACCTGTCACATCAATTATGTCAAATAAATTCCTTTCATTTTTAAAATTAAAAATTCAAATTTATTTTTCTTATAAAAATTTTTCGCACATCTGTCATTTAAATTAGATCAGATTATTTCTCTTGCATTTTCAAATTAAAAATACAAATTTTCTTTTCTTTTAAAATTTTTCGCACATCTGTCAGATTAATTATTTCAAACAATTTCCTTCGCATATTTTAAATTAAATTCAAATAATAAAAATTTTTTCGGACATCTGTCAATTAAATAAAATTCTTTCTTCCAAATATTTCAAATTACAAATTCAAACTTTCTTTTCTCTTAAAATTCTTCGCACATCTGTCAATTTATTATTTCAAATAATTTTATGCACTAGTTAAAATTAATATATTTTATTTCAAAATTTTTATTTTTCAGGGACCATATATTTATAATTAGCCTTTTCATATAATTTGTTATTAATAAACAAAAAAAATTTTTTTAATTTTCTATGAACATGACTACAAACAAAAAAGGGTCAACTGAGTATGATATTGCTGTAATTGTAGAGGTGATTTAATTTAAACATTAAATTAATTATGTCTTATTTCAGGGAACATGTATGTACAAATATTTTAATAAGCGAGAATATCTCAATTCGATGAACATTGCACTCATGGATGGGAAAATTTTCGATATTGGTGCACGACTCAGCATCCTGATAAATTACTTTAGAGCAGGAAAGTGGTGTGTCGACTGTCTAAAATTTACATTGACTCGAGAACAAAGTGAAATTTTTAAACCTAAGAATGAAAGTTCATTTATATATCTACTTTACCTTTGTTCAGATTGTGCTAAAATTACTAAAATGAAACTTAATATTAATTAATCATTTTATTCACGATATTTGTAACAAATAAATCTGGATTTAATTGTTTATTTAATATTTGTAGGTATTGGTCAAAAGTATAGCCTTTTGAGAAAAAATATATAAATGAGATGCAATGATGGGAACAAGTATTGGAATAGGGGGATTGATAAGATTTTAAATTTTTTGAAATTTTGGAAAAATGTTTAAGAAAAGTATCAATTATACATATACTTGTAGGGAGTGCCAAACTGTCGAAATAAATCACTTCATTGTTATTTCTTATGTAAACTACAACCCAGTGAGAGCCTTCATATCCAAAAGGGTCCAAGTTGACAATTAGCATTTTTCCTTTTGACGATGTAGGATTAGGTAGACGATTACAAGGAAAACATCCTAGGAAGATTTGTGATGTTTGGTGATTTGTCCTCAGAATTTTTGTAATCTGACTTGCGTACATTATTGTTATTAAAGTTGAATCTGAACCAAAGAACTGATCGAAGTTGATAAATAATTAGACTAGCCAATAACATAGCATACAAACATATCATTCCCCAGCAAAATACATGTCCATAAAAATTATTGTCTTTTGGACTTTCCTTGCAAAGTGATGGTAAATTATCAAAATTACTAAAATTTGGCAAAGGTGCAACAATTTTTTGCTTCGAAGGCAACAAAGGGTCGTTTGAAATATTTTGACCTCTGTAATATTTAACAAGTTCAGAATATTCTGGAATATTTTCCAGATTTACAGTACCATCTGTTGATAATCCTTCAACTAGTGGAATAAAAATTCTAATTAGTGTAATTATTTTCAAAAGAGTATTCATATTTTTAAATGATTTTTCTCAAAATTTTTCTTCTATTTATACTTTTCTTTATTTGGAAATTTTTAAAATACTTAACAGAAATTTATGAAAGGTATTAAATCTACATGTTAAAATAAATATAATATGAAGGATTAAAATTTATATTGTGGTATCACTCGCAATTGTTCTATTTCTATCTAACATTATAAGAGAGTCTGCCTCGCCCATTACTATAAGCATTATTCCTCCTTCAGGTACGGGTTTACTGAATTTGATATTTACGGCGGTTGTTCCGTTTTTAATTAAGTCAAAAGTTCCCCCTTGATCTTCTCCACTGTTTGTTAAATTGAAAACATATATACAATGTGTTTTGCCATATTGTTGAACAGTTATTCCGTTGCTCTCAGTTGAATTTGCTAAACCAATTGCCTCATTCATATCATTGAAAGCACGAATATATTTACCATTCTCATAGTCAAAATCATATGGCGCTTGTGGATAATTTCTACCATTTGCAACAATACTAATTTCGCGAACATTAAAATGGTGAAAGTTGAATGGGCTTCGTTTAATGTCTCCTACATAATCTGAATTAGAAACCAGCCCTAAAGTAATTCGTCTAGGAATTTGATCCATAAATAAGTTTGCATTAAATTCATAGCGTCCTTGACTAATAAATAAAGGTTTCATCATTGTTTTTCTTATTGAGTAGCGGGCAGGTTTAGTTTCAAGTCTTTTAGCTATATCCAAGGCTAGTCCGTCCATTAAGTCTACTTTTTTGACATAAAGTTTCATATTTACTACTTCAAATTGATATCGTGTCGGTACTTCCATAGCATTTTGTAGTCCATATGTTACTAGAACAAAACGTGAATCGTTTGGTATAATTTCGATATCAACTTCACAATGGTTTATTAAATAAAGTGGCTGGTTGAAAATATCAGCATCAAGTTTAGCTATGAACTGTGCTGTTTTACTATTTTCAAACAATCTTTTCCTTTCAATGGAATCCAATCCTCCTTCTTGTGTTGTAGTATTATTGTAAAAATATCCAGCTGCGTTTAAATGTGAGCTCTTTGCGTTTTGTGAATATGAGAGCTCATGTGAAAAATAAGTTTTGTAAGCATAAAGGGAATTTGAATTGAATACTTCTCTTCCATTAACACTTATTCGCATATTATTAATAAATGTCTGTCCTATAAGCTGTATTGGAGAAACATTGTCTGCGACAGAAAGATTTACAAGTTGTCCACTTTCATTTTCTTTTCGAATGCGAAATTCAGTAAATAAATAACATTTAGTCAAATCAATATAATTTTGACTTGCGTGAATTTTAAAATGGTAAGGTGTATCGGTGAGTGGATTACTTGGTAGAATTTCAAAAACTTTTGATGATGAAATACTTACATTTGTAGGTGGAATTTGAAAAAAGTCTAAAGCATTGGTAATTGAGTTGATACTATCACTGTCGATTTTGTGAAAAGCCATTTTAATAAAGACCAAAAACGTCTGATTTCACTCTTTTCTTAATAGGTTTGCCAATTAATGTTTGATAACTTGGTAATTTTCTCCCTTTTATACCCTTTTTTCTTGCAAATCCTGAACCAAATTGTTTAGGCAGGCCTCCTTTCTCTAATACAGTATCCACTCCCTTCTTTCCTTCACTGATGAAAGCTTCTTTGATTGGCTCTCCTTGACTGACTCTTTCAAGAACACGTTGTCCTGTGTTTATTGCCTCTGACTTTACAGTATTTCCAACATTGCGAAGAACAGGAAGAAAGAAACGCCAAAGCCCTCGCATAACATCCCCTACACCTGCACCTTTTTGAATACCATATCCTCTTTGGAAAGGTGAAGATCCGCGAAAATAGTCATATGATATTTCCCCGCCCCCTGACATTTCATTAGGATTTTTATGGACAAAATCGTCATAGCTTACTGTACTTGTGTCAAAAATAACATGCACCATTTTTTAAAAATAAAATTTATTCTAGGTTTTGAATAATTACAACACTATTTATATACATTTTGAAAGAAAATCAAAAATTTATCACTTTTTTAAATATTAAGACAATGAGTACTGTACCAAAAGAAAATGGTACTAGTCTACCATTATCCATCGTTCTTATTTCAATTTCAATTTCGTTAACTTCCTTTGGTAAAACACGAGCATATATTGGTGAATCATAAATATTTTCATTATATTCTCCAGGTTTTGCACCTGCCACAGAGACTACGCGTAGAAGTGAACTTAAGCTATTACCAATAATCATATTTTCTGTTAGTCCTTTCGTATATACAGCAAAACTAGAAAAACCACCTCTTAAATCACACCCATACTTTGCAATTTCTCTATTTTGGACCATATTTGTATTTTCGAAACCCAAAACATATCCAAGTTGAGGGGAAAAAGATAAATATTTAATGCTGGTATGAGTAAATTGTACCTTAAAACGTTCAAAATCCTTATGATATAATATTTCGATAGAATCAATTATTTGTTTTTGGACTGAAGCGTCAACTTTATCCTTCTTTAAACGTCCATACTGTCGTAAAAGGGCGGGCATATTTGGTAAATAATTTATTCTGGCTTGTCGATTGGGTGTTCTCCCTAGAATAGTTGTTAATATTTGTTCCATTTCTTCGGTCCATAATGGATCACTGAATGTTTCTTCAGGGGTTGGAAGAAGAGGAAGTTTTGAAAGATCCTCAGTAGTTGGTTCAGGTCGTGAAGTTTGAACAGATGTTGTTGTCTCAGGTGTCGAAAGGGAAGGTTTTGGAATATCTGTAGATTTAGGAGGCTCAACTATAACAGGTGGAAGAGGAAGTTGTTCTGAAATATCTCCTTTTTGTTGATCTTGTGAGACAGGTTTTGTTGGAGAGGTATAACCAGGTAGAGACTTTAAAGGTGAAGTTTGTTGAGTTGGGGGAGGGGTTAATGATGTTGTTGGAGGATGTATGTCTGTGTACGTTGGTAGAGGTGGGGGTCTGTAAGGTTCATATTCTGTCTCTTTATCTCTAGCAATTCCTTCAAACTCAAGTGCCCTAAATCTATCCATTCTATAATTGACAAGTCTTTTGAGTCCATCAATTTTGGTATTTAATTCTTTCTTTTGATCTTCATCTGTTTCCTCATCATACAAAGTTTTTGTAGTAGAAATTTCCTGGTATGTAGCGATCAACCCGTAAAAATTACTTCGTATTGCTGGCCAATAATCAGGGTTATCATTGAAAAATTTATCTACATAGCCTTTATGGGTTGTATAGTTCTCTCTATTATATTGTTTAACAGTTTTTTGTTTGTCCCTTCTTAGTACAGCAGCATCAAGTAAATTTACTCTCTTAGTCATTCTTTCAATTTCTTTTTTAAATCTTGGTAAAAACCCCTCTAGTTGTAAGTGTTTTTCCTTTCTGTCTTCTATGAAGAGAGCTATTAGTTTGAGATGGTCTATAATCAATATTTCATTGTAATTTTCGGGGTAGGTTTCGAAAAAATCGACAACAATGTTGACATCTGAATTGTTCTTTTCAAAATCCCTTCTTTTTGCTTCCTCTTCCAATTTTCTAATTCGAGATTCTAAAGCACTCCTTTTGTAACTAAGGTTCCAAAATGTTGTTGTCATTTCACTTTTAATAGTCTCATCTTTTTCTTGATCTGTTCTTAATTTAAATTCATCTAAAGATTTTGAATCCTCTACAAGTTTATCTTTTAAAATTTTTATTTGGTCCCAATATTGATCAGGATAATCTATGAACACTTCATCAACCTTAGGAATGATCCCAACTCTAATTTGCCTTAACTCTTCTAATGAACGTTTATTTCTTGGGCGTTTAAGTGAGGGCAGATCAACTAAATCTTCAGGTTTTTCCAAAGGTGAAGCTCCATAAGTTTCGCTTTGATGTTGAAGTGTGGAAATTAAAAATTCATGTAATTTCTCAACTGAAGTATGAGAAGCCTTTGGAACTGGAACTCGTAAGACTCTGCCCATTCCAAGATTATCTTTGAAATGTATATCAATCCATTGATCGTCTAGTGTACCAATAGTTGCTGCCCAGGAATAAGGATAATTTATGCTATGTAAACCGCACACCCAGTTACCAGAAAAATAGAGTGGCTTTGGTAAATGAACTCGAAATTTATTTGGTCGATTATCGGGATAATCGGGAATATTACTAGGGAGGAAGACAAAAAAGCTGTTTGACATAATTTATCACAAATAAAAATTTTTACAATAATGAAAAAAATGTTTCCTTTTATACTAATTGTGACTCATGAATCCATTCTCGTTCTGGGTATCCTATAAATTTAACAAGAACATCAAAAGTCCCATCTGGTCTCTTTCTTTTTTTCACAACTTTTTCAATTCTATATTCTGTATCGGCATCCTTTCTTACACGAGTTAACTCTTCATTGTAAAATGAACCTTTGAACTTTTCACCTTTATCATCTCGCACTTTGTATTGAACAGGTAACGGTGTTTCTTTTATATTGTCCACTTGTAATATTTCATCTCCCCAATTTGATATGTATCCTTTTTCAAAAGCACCTTTATTTACACTCATTCGTACAAAATCATCTTTTTTAAGTTTTGGTTTTATTTTGTTATTATTTGAAGAAAATATGTTTCCATAAATTCGTTTCCATACTTTTTGAGCATTATCAAAATTGACATCTATCGGTCGCATGCCGTGTATTCTACTTTTTGCTTTATTTATTCCTAATAAGATTTTTTCAAGGACATCGATCCAGTTTAATGTTTTCTTTTGAGCAAAATTTCGGTAAAGTCGATGTTTAACGTTGCGAATTGCTCTTTCCGCAACGGAAGCTTTGACAATAGAATGTGTTGGTTCATGTTTTTCTATGCCCTCCTTTTCTAAAAATTCTTTCATTTGTTTATTTTTAAATTCTGTTCCTTTATCTGAGAAAATTCTTTGTGGTTTCATAGGCATTTGCGAAATTAAATTTTTGAAAGCTTCTATCATTTCTTCAGTTTTTTTAGACTTTACAGGACTCCAAAAACAAGCTTAGAAAGAACATCAAGACCTAGAAGCAAATAACGATTTCCTTTATTATGGCGAGATAACTGTTGAAACTCTGCCAAATCAACTTGAACATCTGTCATAAATCCAGCTGCTACAGTCTTTGATCTTTTAAAACGAATACGTTTGGGTCGCATAAGAGTGTATGTTCTATGTCCTTCTAAGTAATGTTGAATAGCTTTTCTTGGTATATGTTTGAGAACTTTACGTGCTTCATACCAAAGTCGGTCAATTCCTGAAAATGCTGCGGGGGATTCTGGATTGTTGTATAAATCATCAAGAAAATTAGTATAATCCGCCATTAAATTTTTTTATTCACCACAGAGAAGGTTTAAAAGTGTTTATATCTTTTTGTGTTGGTTTTCTGGGTGCCCATTTATTTTTTGATTTATATGGATGAAATGGAACATTTCTTTTCTTCAGATTTTTAATCCACAATTTTGAAGCTCTTTCGGATTGTTTTTTCGTAACCTTCCTCTGAATTTTTGCTATTGTATGTCCATCTGTCGCCAACTCATTTTTCCGTTTTACTTTCTGACGACTCATGGGCGGGGAAGGTGATCTTCCCTCTCTTAAAATCCTTTTTGAACCTTTTGCCGCTCCTTTCTTATCTTTATTACGCAATTGTTGGATAATATAAGGGTCTAAGGGAACTTTGAGTTTCTGTGACTTTCGACGTCTTGCTAATAATTGTTGCCTTTTTTCATAACGTTCTCTTTTTATTTCTTTTAATTTTCGTACTCTTTGTTTTACTTCTCGGTCAATTTCTGCATCATTTTTCTTTTTCCTTTTTATATTTTCAAATTCATCTTGTTCTAATTCTCTTTTAATAACTTTTTGAGTTGAACTAAAAGTTGAATATTTTGTACTTCTACGTCTAGAAATTCTTTTCTTTGGCTCAGACCCTAGTTCCTTCTTTATTATTTTAAGATTTGTAGTAGGCTCTGGTGGAGGAGGTGGGGAGCTTCCTTTTAATTTTTTAAAACTGGTTTTAATGGATGATGATGATGAGGAAGAAACTGGACGGTGTAATTTTGTAGGTTTGAAATCAATTATTGATTTTATGTCTTTGGTAGATTGAGGATAAGATGGCAGGGAAATATCATCTGTTGTCAAAATTTCATCATCGTCTTCGTTTATGTTAGATGATGGACGTGTAGAATTTGTACTCAAAATTGCACCTTTAGGTGTAGCTACCATTTCTACTTTGACAGGTCTATTCTGTTGTTCATTCCTCATTTGTAAATACCGCCTGAGTTCTTGGTTATATTTTACATTTTTTGCTGTTGGATTATCTTTCTTTCTACTAATTTTTTCAAGATCGTTTCTAATAGAATCAAGATTAGGTTCCCCTGTATCAAAAGTAGTTAGACCTTTATAAATTTCTTGAGGAACAAGAATAAATTTGTTCGCCATAATTTTTAATGTTTCTTTATTTATCTATTAGTCGCTTTTTATAGAGTTTCCTAGTGATCTTGCTAATTCAATAAGAACTGGTGTCAATAATGCTGCGAACATGCCCACACCTCCTCCTTTTTGGTTTAAAATTTTTCTAGCGCCAAATTCGCTTCGTATCCTACTCATTTTACGGACAAAGTCAGCATATGGGATTAGTCGTTGTTTCTGTCGAGGTGTAAGTTTGAGTCTAGCCTTTATGATATTCAAACAAATTTCACTTATAGCTAATAATTGATCTGTATTTGTGAGTCTTAACAAATGTTGCAACTTCCTTTGAGATTTTGTTTTGGCAAGAACTTTTATAAATGTTGAATTTTTCTTAATAAGCTGACTGACCATATTTTTATTTATGCTCTATTTTTTGGAATAAAAATTATTTTTTCTTCATCTTCCTTAAATATACATGTGCGTAGTCTCAGTCCTGGATCTGATGAGGCATGCATATCAATAACTAAATAGCCATAAGGTTTATCTGTTGCCTGTCGATACGCATCGAGGAAATAGTCAAGTTTTCGAGGAAACAGTTGGACACCTATATTACGAACAGATAGAACAGAATTAGGTGAACGCATAATAATAATATATTGAGCATTTTGGCGTGCAACTTTAATTTTGCGCTCAAATAAATTCTGAGTAACAAAGACAATAGCAAAATTTTGATGATGAGATTTTTTTGTGAATAGCTCGGACAAATATTTTTCATCAATTGACATGAGCAAGTCATCAAGTATTAGTAGTAACGGTTTTTGATATTTACTAATCAAATCCTCAGGAGGAACACCTGAATAGACGCTGACACCCGATTTCTGTAGTGTAGGAACAATATTGCTCATTTCACCAAAACAATATAGTATACTTTTAGGTTTTGGCTCAATTAAATCTGACGCCTCAGAAATAAATTTTAATAATAATGAACTCTTTCCACTGGAACTGGGACCAGAAATAATCATACCAAAAGGAAGTTTAAATTTTAGATCTTTATCTGAGAATGTTAAAGTTTCCATTTTTAATTAGTGAAAAATTAAAAAATTTTGCTTTAAATAGTAAAAATTATCGAGGTATGTTATATAAAGCTTCTATAGCGACCATCTCTTCTTCTTCCATCTTATCTGCTTGTTTCTTCAAATTATTCACTTTGTCACTTTGTGAAGGAAGTCCACTTGTGGCTGCATCGAGGCTATCAAAAAATTCATTAAGCAAAACATTTTCATTATTTTCTTTACTTTTGTCTTTGAGTATATTTTCAATTGTATGTTTCGTAAATTTTTGAGAACTCTTAGAATGATTTGATTTGTTCTGTTTCTCGGATGTTGTGTTTTGTAAATCCTTTTGTGTTGGAGGAGGAGGTGGTGGTGAAGGATGTTCTGGTTTCACTGAGCCATATGGGATATTGAAAACACGACCTTTGTTTTTTACCTTAAATTAAAAATAATTACTAGATAATGAAACTTGAAATTTACCCGAAAGAAACATATTCCTGGTAAGTCATAAGTTGAATCAAATGGCACATAACGTGTTCCGGAAATACGTGTGCAATAAATAGTAATTCCATCCTTTGTTACAACAAAATCCACCTCAGCTTCTGTACTTTTACATTCACGGCATTTGCCACCTATATCATACGGTACAAAACGTGCAGGAGTTAAACGTGCACTTGAAATCGTTATTCCATTCAAATTGATACTAATTTCCACCTCTGGTAATACTTGTCGAGTGAGAAACTTATTGTTCATTTGAAAATAATTTTGAAGAATGAGGCAAGGAAATGAAAATCTGCTAGAAGAATTCACTTTTTATACTACTTTTTAAACACGCCTCTTTGAAATTTTAGGTCAGCTAAAGGAGAGAAAATAGTTCTGAAAAATTTAATAATAGATGAGCAAGCCTCTTTTACAGATAACCATCCTGAATAAAATATACCATCTTTTTCTTGTTTAGGTTTTGTTGGAAAACCCATATACATAGGCATAATAGATTTTGCTTTCTCATCCCAAACATACCAAGCATGACCATATGGGGTCCAAATTTCTTTATAATCTGTATCATTAGGTACACTCACATTTAAAACATTTTTAAAATATACTACAGGAGATATTCTTCGAAATACAGTTATAGCTCTCTCACAGTGCCATATTTTAAATTCAGATAAATTTGTATCATCACTTGTGACATTATAAATTAAGACTAATATTAAACTAATTTTAAAAATCATTTTTAATTTAAGATTTATTTTAATCCGAGTATTTATACCTTTTTATTATTCATTTATATATTCACTAAAGAGAATGTTCAAATTTAATATGAGGGGGAAAAATTTTTTAATTTTTTAAAACTAAAAATTAAATTAGCTGACAGATGTTTCTGAAAAAGAAGAGAAAAATTTAAAATTTATAGAGAAAGAAAATATTTTAAATTATCAAAGGAAAAATATTGACATAATTGATGTGACATGTTTGCGAAAAGTTTAAAAGAAAAGAAAATTTAAATATTTAAGTAGAAAAATGCTAGGAAATTATTTGACATAATTTAAGTGACAGATGTTCAGAAAAAAGAAAAAAATTTTTAAATTTCATGCGGTAGAAGAAAATTTAAATTTATTTATTTGGCAACCTGCCAAACCTCGCTTTTATATAGAAAGGAAGAGAAAAAGAAGAAAAGATAGAAAATAGAAGAGAAAGAAGAAAAAAGATTATTATACTCTATATGTCTGACACGAAAAAATGCTGGTTTATAAATAAATTAAAAAAGATAAAATAAGCTTCTCAGTGTGTCAGTTGGTAGTGATTCTGACTATAGTGAAAAAGTCAAAGGTTCGAATATTTTCAGGAGTTTATATTTTAAAAATAAAATTTTGAGAAAATAAATTAAAAGTTCAATTACTACAATAGCAAAAATAAAAAATTCTGTAACAATCAATAATTAATTGATTAAATGATGAAGTGATGAATTCAGAATATTTAAGAAAAATTATAGTCGGAACAAATTGGAATTTCTAGGGAAATCAAAGAAAGGAACAAAAAGGAATTTGTCGGGAAGATCAAAAGTGGAATAAAATGAGATTGCGGTAAAATATGACCCTATCCCAAACCTTTAGGATAAATTTGTTCAAAAGAAAATCTTTGTAGTTTGCCGACCCCTCCCTCAACCCTTCAAATCCTTTTGGAAAATTAGCGGACTCATCCCCCAACCCTTTCAAATCCTTTTGGATAATTGGTAGACCACGCCCCCAACCCTTTCAAATCCTTTAGGAAAATTTGCGGACCCCTCCTCAACCTTTAGGAAAGTGCGGTAAAAAATGGAATAAAGTGGGGTGGATAACTACTAAAATATTATTTGTAATTAACTTATGATGCAGCTGTAAATGAATTTTAAATTAATATTTTCTTGTCGGATTAATTTTCTTGTGCCTCACCGATATACGGCATTGGGGTCTCATTGTCAAAACAGCCCCTATGATTTTATATTTTTGAAGTTTGTATATTGTGAAATATATTTATATAAAACATTTATGTAAAAATATGCTATGGTTGAAAAACTAAAAAACCTTACTTTTTTGCAAATTATTTTATTCATTAATATCTTTATATTAAATCAATATAACTTTAAAAATATTAATCACGATTTTTCAAGTATTTCGTATTTTCAATTGTTATTTTAATTTGTTTTTAATAATCGCGTATAAGAGAATTAGATTTTTTACGCTAATACTTCCCACATTGTAATTTTTTATTCTTTAACTAGCCTTCCTTATTAAAATCTTATTCTTATTTAAATCATTAAAATTAAGACCATTAAGCTCCTCAGACCTTCAAGCTTAATTGACTCAAATTTTGTTTAGCTACGATTAGTTGTTTATAAACCATTTAAAAAACAATTTTTAAAGGTAAAAAACCAAAGAAACCATTTTTAAAGGTTTTGCTTTTCTCCATATAATCAGAAACATAAATCTTCAAATATTTAAGGAAGAAATTTATACTTTCAGATTTCATTATTAATTAAATTTACAAGAGAATTTGTAGTGTCAAAAACATAGGATTTGTTATAAAGCCTAATAAAAATTCATTTAAGATGAATTTTTGATATCATTTATTTATTAAAATTATTTAATTATTGATCTTGTTATAATGTGTAAAGAATATTTTATTATATTTTTCACAATTATGCTGTTAGTCATAAATAATTATATTATTTTAACATTTAATCTAGCTTTTAATCTAAATATTTGTTTGTCTTCTTCCATTAATTTGGAAACAAGGTCGAAATGACTTCTTTTCGTCCAAAAATAATCTCAAAATTTTAATTATTTAATTCTGCATTTTTCACTTGCTACAATTGTTGGTGCGTGAACAGGATATTTATACATATCACAAAAGCAAACATTAATCACTTTCTGAATTAAATTGTATTCCTCACTCGAGACTGCCGCCATAATTTTTTCTTGTTGCCACAATTTTTTTCTTGTTTTTCTATCATTTTATTACAATATTGAGAAATTAAATTTAAAGTTTAATCGTTTATCTAATCCCATATAGATGTACAGTAGATGTACTCCTTGTACAAAAAAGCCAACCAAATTAAATTTATTTTATATGTATATATGTATTTTAATTAAAATAGGTAGTTAATATTAAATATTTTTTAAATTATTTATAATAAATTAATTTTATTACCGAGATGTCTTTATATGTATAATATGAGTTTAATTTTTGGTGAATATGCGTAAAATTTAATACAAATTTATAAACAACAAAATAATTTTTATTTGATCGGTTTACTAAACATAATGTATTTAAAAACTGCTTTTTTATTAAGGATGATAAATATATAATCATTAGTTAAGAATTTTTAATTTTTCTTCGAATACTTTAAAATATTTTTCGCAAAGTTGCGACAAAATTAATTTTATTAAGAATTGAATGACTGTAACAATTAGGCTCTTTAGACATTTTCTGAAGATT